CGTATAGAATCAAAATTAACATGTCCTAGTCTACCATGCCACACATTGGAAGACTCAAGCAAGTAAGCAGAAGGGATTTTATTATTATTATTATTATTAATAGTCATTACATTGAGCTTAAACAACCCATCACATGTATACCCCTTTCCCACATACATTCCCGATTTAGACAAAACTAATTTGTCTGACTCAAAAACCATGCGGAAGCCATGCTTGTTCAACAACGAACCGGAAATCGGGTTTTTGCGTATCTCCGGAACGAATAGCACTTGGTTTAGAGTCAGCTCCTTGCCCGAAGTCATCTTCAGGATCACTTTGCCCACGCCTTCCACCGCGGAATGAGCAGAATTTCCCATCCACACCTTTTCACCATTTGATGGCTCAAAGGTCGTGAATAGCTCCCGGTTTGAGCAAATATGTCGGGTAGCACCGGTGTCCACGAACCACTCCTTGGAATTGGATCCAACGAGGTTGACTTCCGTAACCACAGCCGTTAGGATGATGTCTTCATCGTTTTGCTCATCTTGCACCAAGTTGACTTGAGAGTCCCTCTTCTTCTTGGGTGCCTTGCAATCCGCGGACTTGTGTCCGTTTTTATTGCAATTGAAGCATTTTCCATTGAACTTCGTCTTGGAAACGCCTCCCTTGGGACCGAGCTTGCTCTTCCCATTATTTTTATTTTTGGAGCCTTTAGCATGCTCCACCACGTTGGCCTTGGCGCCATGAACAATTGGGAGTTTCCCATCGTTCTTCCGGTTATCCTCTTCAATCCGCAGACGGAGGATCAATTGCTCCAAGTTCATTTCCTTTCGCTTGTGCTTAAGGTAGTTCTTGAAATCCTTCCAAGCCGGCGGCAATAAATGAATAATTGACGCCACTTGGAATGACTCACTAACTGTCATTCCTTCATCTCGAATTTCGTTGAAGATCATTTGCATCTCCTCAACTTGACTCAAGACCGTCTTCGAATCCACCATTTTAAAGTCAAGGAATCGACCAACAACAAATTTCTTTGCGCCGGCATCCTCGCTTTTATATTTGTGGTCCAAAGCATTCCATAGCTCCTTAGCCGTAGCTAGTTTGCTATATACGTCGTACAAAGCATCATGCAGACCGTTCAACACGTAGTTTCGGCAAAGGAAGTCAGAATGCTTCCAAGCTTCAACCGCGTTGAAAGATTGCGCATCCACCTCACCCCTGGTTGCTACCACATTCTGCTTCTTACTCCTCCAAGTCACTAGATTCCCCCATACATAGGTACAATACCCAGATGTAGACCTTTTATCAGTTATTGAACCAGCATAATCTGCATCTGTAAAAGCTTCTACACTTCTATTGTCACTCCTTTTAAAAAATAATTCTTTCCCTGGACAGCTTTTCAAATATCTTAGGATTCTGTAGGTAGCATCTAGATGTTCCTGGAATGGATTATGCATGAATTGACTAACCATACTAACCGCAAAGGCAATATCTGGCCTTGTATGTGCCAGATAAATCAACCTTCCCACCAATCTTTGATATTGGTGAACATTAACTGGTACTCCTTCCTTGACATTTCCTAACTTTTGATTAGGGTCAATTGGAGTATCTATTGGTCTGCATGCACTCATACCTGTTTCATGGAGTAGGTCTAGTACATACTTCCTCTGAGATACCACAATTCCCTTCTTTGATCTGGCTATCTCCATGCCAAGAAAGTACTTCAATTCTCCCAGGTCTTTGATCTCAAATTCCTGAGCCAGCTTCTTCTTCAGGTCTTCAATCTCTTTATAATAGTTTCCTGTAAGAATGATATCATCCACATAAAGAATTAGTACTACAATCTCTCCCTTAATGGAGAATTTCATGAATAGTGTATGGTCTGCTTGGGCTTGCTTGAATCCCTGCCTCTTTATGAATTGAGTAAACCTTTCAAACCAAGCCCTTGGGGACTGTTTAAGTCCATATAAGGCTTTCTCCAGCTTGCACACCTTTGAGCCATATTGTTCCTCAAACCCAGGAGGGGGGCTCATGTACACTTCCTCTTCAAGCTTCCCATTTAAGAAAGCATTCTTCACATCTAACTGTTGAAGAGGCCAGTCTAGGTTAGCAGCTAGAGATAGAAGGATTCTTATAGTATTTAGTTTTGGAACTGGAGCAAAAGTTTCTGTATAATCTATGCCATAGGTTTGTGTGTATCCTTTGGCAACCAATCTGGCCTTATATCTTTCAAGTGTACCATCTGCCTTGAATTTAGGGGTAAATACCCATTTGCATCCCACTGTTGGTTTGTTCTTGGGTACTTCCACAGCCTGCCATGTCTGATTCTTTTCAAGAGCATTCATTTCTTCTAAAACAGCCTTCTTCCACTCAGGTTTAGATAGAGCTTCATGTATGGTTAAGGGAATAGAAACAGTGGAAAGACTAGAGGTAAAGGCTGCAAATGATGCAGATAACTAAGAATAGGACAAATAGTTTGAGATAGGGTATTTAACATATGATCTTTTTTCTTTTCTGAGAGCAATGGGTAGATTTAGATCACTGGAATTATTACCTTTGTCATTTTCTGACATTGAGTCAGATTCATGGGCAGTGGCAGGATCAGGGATGTTCTCTATTCTTTGATTTGGAACTCTCCTTTCATAAACCTTGCCAAAAAATTTACTTGTCTGCTGTTCATCATCTTTCCTTGTCTTAGAAAATTTTATTTCATTTTCTTTTGACTCTTGACTATTTTCTAGTGCATCTAACTGTCTATTATATTGTGCATCTAGACTAATGTCAAGAGATTCAAGTTTTTCATGGATATGTGACACATTATCACCATCTTCATTAGGAATCTCCCCCTGAAGATGAGTACCAAAAAAAGTTGATTTTCAACAAAAACAGTGTTCATTGTTACAAACATCTTTTTTGTTGTAGGGTCAAAACATTTATAGCCTTTCTGTGTTGAAGATAGTCCTAAGAAAACACATTTTTTGCCTCTAGGATCAAATTTGCTTGCAGTTCTGTCAGGGTCGGTAATAAAAACTGTGCACCCAAAAAATTTTATGGGAAGAGAGTTAATAAGCCTAGTTTCAGGAAAACTGGCTTGAAGGGTATCAATAGGAGTTTTAAATCCTAGAGTCTTTGATGACATCCTATTAATTAAATAGGTAGCATGTAAAACAGCTTCTCCCCATAAATATTTTGGAATTCTAGCAGAAAACATAATTGCACGAGTGACTTCAAGAAAATGTCTATTTTTCCTCTCAGCTATTCCATTCTGAGCAGGTGTGTTTACACAGGAACTTTGATGAATAATTCCTTTTTCAGCAAAAAAATTATTTAATTTCTTAGAAAAATACTCAAGACCATTATCACTTCTCACAATTTTGATATTAGTATTGAATTGAGTCTGAATCATTGAGTAAAATTTTTTGAACACCTCTTCAACCTCAGATTTTTCTTTAAGTAAAAAAACTCATGTGACCCGTGTGTGATCATCTATGATAGTTACAAACCACCTTTTTCCTTTCAGAGTTGGAACTCTAGTTGCACCCCAAATATCACTGTGTACAATAGTAAAAGGACTAGTTGGCTTGTAACTATGAGGGATATAAGAACTCCTATGATGTTTGGCAAGTGCACACATATCACAATGAAATGATGAAGGATTTTTATTATGAAATAACTTAGGAAACAACATTTTCAGATAAGAAAAACTTGGGTGACCTAATCTATAGTGCATTAAATACACTTCATTATTACAAAGAAAAGAAATAGTTTGCAGACAAGTTTTTTCTTGACCTTGTTTATTCAATTGTGTTCCTTCATCAAAAGTATAGAGGCCATCCTCCTCTCTAGCACTGCCAATCATCCTCCCTGATGCCAGATCCTGAAAAATGCAATAAGAAGGATAAAACTTTACACAACACTGAAGGTCTTTGGTTATTTTGCTAATAGAGATAAGATTGCAGGAAAGTTTTGGAACATGTAAGACTTTGGAAAGGTTAATGGATGAGGAAATTTTAACATTTCTCATCCTTGCTATGGCTGAAAAAGAGCCATCTGCAACTCTAACTTTCTTATCTCCTGCACAAGGTTGATATGAAGAAAAAAGATTTGGAATGTAGGTCATGTGGTCTGTTGCACCTGAGTCAATGACCCAGGTGTTTTTTGGTTTTTCAGAACAAAAAAATGACGTTATTTTACCATTTTGGGCAAAAGAACAGGTAGGGTTTTCTTGGTTGGAGATTTTCTGGGTGGGTATAAATTGGAGTAGGTACTCTATCTGTTCTTGAGTGAATGGCAGCTGTTTAGATTCAACTCCTAACTCTTGTTGAGTCTCAGTCACAGTAGTTTGTAGGGCCCTCTCTACTTTCTTCTTTCCAGCTCCTGGTGGTTTTCCATGAAGTTTCCAGCATGTTTCCCTTGTGTGCCACAATTTTTTGCAGTGATCACACCAAGGTTTTTTCTTGTCATCACTTCTGGCCACCAAAGCTGAAGAGTCCCCAGGTTCCTCATTAGGTACTGGAGTGTTGTACATGACTCTTCTCCTGCTATCTTCCAACCTGATCTCAGAAAAAACTTCTCTGCTATCTTCACATGTTCACTTGCCTTTTAGCTTGCCACACAAACCTTCTTCACACCTATGATCTTTATGGAACACACTCATCAGCTTTGAAGAATATCTTTGCAAGTTCATGATTACCTCCTCCCTTGGCCCCAAAATTCACTGTTTTGAAACTAATTTTGTTCCCAAATGGAGACTTATCTTTTTGAAAAGTTTACACACACAGTCACACACACACACATATATTAATATACAAATATATTTAATGTAGTTTTTGCATATATCAAACAACATAAGTATGTTAAACATAGTTAACCAACAAATTGGTTAACAAATAAATATAATTAACTTCACATGTTTACGGTAGAATGTGGGTATTCAACTTTGGTGGTTGATTCATAGGTTTAGTGTCTTGTCCATTTTCAGTAAATTTTTTATCATGTGGCCACAACATAAATGCGCCATCGCCATGGAAAACTGCCTTGTCCCCATGGCTCTCGCCATACGCCATGACAACTGTGTTCACTTTTGATTTTGCCTATTTGAGATGTATTTGATTTCTCAAAGTTGATTCCATTTTTTCCATGATGATTCATTTATTGACACAAACTATTAGGAAGCGAAAACTCATTCTCCTTTGGGAGAAGAGAGATGTAAGAATCAAATGTGCATGGAGTCTCCAGCTTGTTGTATCATTGCTGAGCTTTGTCAAGTATGTATATCCCCACTCTTCATCTGCGATCGTATAATGTGGAACAAAAGGACTAAAAATATTATAAATATGCTCATAGCTATTATTTCCCAGTTCTGAGGAGTAGAGGGTCTTGTTACCAGATGTTTAGGAGTAAACATTGTACAAATTGGGTATCAACATTTCCTGTACAATCTTATTTTGGCATTTGTTGTGTTTTTGAATGGTTTCTGTTATCAAATGGTAATTTGGGCAATATCTGTAAGCTGTAGGCATTGTTTGCTATCTCTTTAGTCCAAACCATTGATTTGAATTATATGTCGTGATTCTGATTTTAGTAAATGTATCATAATTATTGAAACATTTTTTTTTGTTTGGTTAAGCTTATAAGTTAACTAATCATGTAAGATGAATCCATTAGCAAATTGGCTGACCAACTAACAAAGGTTCCAAAAGCAGTCACCTGGGCGGAAGAATTCCTAGCATCTCTTAAGGATGATGTTCCGGTAAAGTATGCTCACTATTTCAAGTATATTGAAAGACATTGGTGTTCAGCAATGGCGTTTTGGTTTGAGCCTGTCATTATCCTGCAGCTGATTAAGGCATTGAAGGAGGTATTCTGCTATCATGTCAATTTCTGCACCAATAATCACTTAATTAATGATTAACCATTTTGTTTAACAGTCAGCCCCCCTAGTCGATGTTTTTCACAAGTATTCAAAAGGAGCACAGCTTTTACGTTGTTAGGAACGAATGATTCGTATAAATAAAGATCCTTTGCTGGGGTCGGTTGTTGAGAGTGATCCTGTTAATAAGATGAGGTTTGTGTACTCCAAGAGACGCATGATTTGTTATGTGGTAGATCTATGTCTCTTAGCAAGCAAGAAATGTGGTTTAGTGCAACTGTTAGTTTATTAGGTTCACAGATTCATTATGTTGGTGTATTGACAAACTAATACTACTCCCAAAATAGTCATGTTTGGTCAATCAGTCAATGTATGCTTTTCATTTTTCATGTCATACAAGCGCACAACTCTCCCTAAGTTGGAGCATATACTTTGGATTAATTAAACATTGCCATAGTTGTTACGGCGTCGCGTATGTGCCGACTAGTAGTCCTTGCGGTGGAGGAGTGACGCCGTGATCAACCGACTCGGGTGAAGCTGTCAAGACGTAACTTGGTGTTTGATTAGACGTCTGGAAGTCGTCATGGCGACACCCAGGTCCAGTATTCACTGACTGACACGTCAACTCGAACCCTAGGCCCTGCAACCCGTCGGCCAGGTCATCACCTCTGGCACTGCTGCTGGTTGACGCCGCCAGTCTGGCTCCATCTCTCGCTTGTTCCTGATTTTGTTATTCACTGCCGTCCTTTGGTTTATTCTACTTTGTTTGTCTGAACTTATCTTTTAATCTTTAGCCCGTGTTATACGGAGTAGGGGTTTCTTACTGGACACTTTTTATACACAGCTGGAGTCCATCTAGTATTTTATTTCCATCCCTTTGAATAAATGTCTGCTGCAAATTATTGCAGATAAATGTTGGCAGATTATTACCTTTGTGGAAATTTATATTGGACATTTGTTGTAGATAAATGATTAAATTGTCAGATATTTTCTCATCTATTATACCTTTAATTTATTTCCTAATTTTAATTTTTAATTTTATTTATTTATTATTAATATATTAATAATAATAAGAGAGTGTTCAATGTCTTCATTACTTGACCAATGATTGTGGTGATGTCGAGGTATTGCTCTTGCAGTTATTTTAATACGTAGTATGATTTTATGTTGTACTAAAAGACTTCTCCTGTTTTTTTATGTATCATTTCTGTCTTAGAAATTTAGTCTTGAAAGTGTTTTTCCTAATGCATCTTATTATTTTCAATGACCAGGGTTTGAAGAATGTGCTAGCTGATAACTATCGTGAAGATTCGGCAGAGTATATTGATCTATTTGAAAATGTATGATACACTACAATCGTCCATTGTTGTGATAAATTATGTTGCCTTGAAAGCACTAACCTTTTTCTCCCTAGATAGAAAAAAAAATGATCTGCTTCTTCAAGTGTATCTTGAGAAATAGTTTTGATGATAACTATGATGTTATAGATAATATTATCTTAATATTTGATGATAAAATTGTTATTTAAGAGTCTTAATTGTTTTCTAAAATTGAAAATGGGAACCTTCAGTTGGAATGTCCAAAAAAGGATAGTGAGAACCTTTGAATGGAAGACAAGAAGTACGGAATAGGAAACAGTTACAAACTGATATTGATATACACCACAGTAACAATGCTAATACTATCCACCATGTTTATTCATTGGGCAATTCTTCAATTCAATTCAAACATGACAAAGTTTGCTACTTGTCTTTCATTTCTCATTAAGTTCATCTATATAATTAATATAGTAGTTCCTGCTACTTTGTGCTCTTCATATGGAAGCAACGTGTTAAGGGCCTTGGTACAAGATCTAGTCCAAGGTCGATGATTCTGAGAAGAACAAGAAAAATATGAATCTATGGTGCCTGAAATATTAATCGACCCCCGCCCTCGGCAAGGAGTTTGTCGCAGGTTCCACCGTACGCCAAATAAAATTAATATTCCAAAGCTAATCTCATTAATCCAACTGATAAGCCTTAAATAGGCTAAAGATAAGTTTCCTAAAATAATAATAGGAAAGAAGTAATACAGAAGCTCCTAAACTAGTATAAGGAAACCTGAATAAATAAACTCAAAGTAGGAAACTGATTTAATTAATTAAAATAGACTCAAAGTAGGAAACTGATTTAATTAATTAAAATAATGAGGACCACTCAAGCTGGTCCCTTCTTTGACCGCCTCTGGTAGACTCTGCCAAATCGACCCATATCATCACTCCCTCCGTTGACAACGAGCTTGTCCTCAAGATCGAAATCAGGAAAATTCTCACAGAAGGAATCCAATGTTTCCCATGTAGCCTCTTCCAAAAGCTGTCCTGCCCAGTGGACAAGTAGTTCCCAACTACCCCGATATGGACGAGCCTTCAAAATGGACAGAGGTTGGAGTGGGGGTGGCAGGCTGTTCAGTTCTGGTAAGGTTCCCATCGTCAAAGGTGTGTCTCCTCTGTGTGGCTTGAGTAAAGATACATGAAAGACGTCATGAATTTTGCTTGATGGAGGAAGTATCAGGCGATAGGCAGCTTGCCCAATAGCTTCCCTTATCTGAAAGGGCCCAAAAAACTTGGGTGAAAGCTTGTGAACATGCCTGATGAGTGACAATTGGCGATGTGGATGAATTCTGAGCCAAACCCAATCACCTGGGGTGAATGACAAATCCTGATGGCCCTTATCGTATTGGAGTTTCATACGTTGTTGAGCTTGGAGCAATCTGGTCTTGGCTATGGTGAGGATGGAGTCACGGTCAATGAGCGTTTGGTCCACTGCGTCGAGCTTGGCAGTGCCAGGTGTGTAAGAAAGTAGCTTGGGTGGGTCACGACCATACACTAACCTGAAAGGAGTATCACCTAAAGATGTATGGAAATATGTGTTGTAGCAATACTCCGCCCATGGAAGCCAACGAACCCAATCTCGTGGACAGTCGCCGGTAGTACAACGGAGGAACATTTCCAAGGTGCGATTCACCACCTCAGTTTGACCATCTGTTTGAGGATGGTAGGCTGAAGAAAATCGAAGTTGGGATCCACAAAGATGGAATAACTCACGCCAAAAGGAGCTCACAAACACTTTATCGCAGTCAGAGACAATTGATTCTGGCAGGCCATGGAGGCGAAAAATTTAAGAGAAGAAGACTGCTGCCACTGAAACAGCCGTAAATGGATGTGCTAGTGCAATGAAATGAGCAGCCTTAGATAACCGATCAACAACCACAAAAACAACTGATTTTCCCCGAACCTTGGGCAATCCCTCGATGAAGTCCATGGAGATATCTGCCCAAATGTGATGAGGAATGGGCAGGGGCTGCAACAAACCTGCAAGCTGGAGGTTCAGCCATTTGTGTTGTTGACACACTTGGCAATCCCGCACATGGTCAGTGATGGTCTTTTTCATGCCAGGCCAATAAAATTCGCGACGCACCCTCTGTAACGTCTTAGCACTGCCTTCATGGGCCATGGAGTGGAACAAATTGACTATAGTTGGAATTGCAGCAAAAGATGGCAGTAAGTACACTTTATGTTGGAAAAACAGCAACCCGTCTCGATATGCCCACTCGGTTCCCAAGGCACCTTCGTCAAGCTGGCGTCGAAGAGATCCAATTTCGGACGAGGAAGCTTGTTCCTTACGGATATCCTCAAGCAAAGTTGTATAAGGAATGGACAACGCTGCTAGGTGAGGCTGAGACTCATCACGACGAGATAAGGCATCGGCAACCGTGTTGTACCGACTAGGTTTGTATTCTACCCGGAAATTATACCCCATCAACTTACTGAGCCAATGTTGTTGGGGAGAAGTCGTTAAGCGTTGCTCCAGTAAGTGTTTCAAGCTAGAATGATCGGTACGAATTAAAAGTTCTTGCCCCCAGAGGTATGGTCGCCAATGGGTTACTGCCTTGGCCAACCCGATCAATTCCCGCTCGTATGCGGCTAATTTGATATGACGATCTGCTATTTTGCGGCTGAAATACACGATAGGATGACCCTCTTGTTGCAAAACTGCCCCAAAGCCACTCCCTGAGGCATCACATTCAATGACAAATGGAATTGAAAAGTTGGGCAGTTGAAGTACAGGAGCTGTGGCCAAGCAATGTTTAAGTTGGTTAAAGGCAACAGTGGCCTCCTCATTCCAATGGAATGAATGTTTCTTTAAGAGTTGCGTGAGTGGTAAGGCAACCTCCCCACAATTTTTGATAAATTTACGGTAGTAGCCAGCCAGGCCTAGAAACCCACGCAAGGCCGTTAGTGTCCCTGGCAGAGGCCACTCTTGGATCTTCAATTGCATCCTTGGCAGTGAGCTGCTTCCTTTTGATTGTATAGACCTGGTTGATTTTTAGTAACCTTGTTGCTTCTGCCATGTCATCAGTCCGAAGCCACTCCACCACAAACTCTTCTTCGTCGATGAAGTGTGCTATGGTTTCAACTTGATGGAGGATTCTTGAGAGCTTCCATGATCTCCATGCCTTGACTCTGGCAATTCTGCATCTACTTGCTCTAGAGGAGTCAGGACAGGTGAGACCACTGCTGGTGATTGAGGAGCCTGCTCGTCTAGAGGAGTCATCTGCTCGCTGAAAGGAGGGACCTGCTCTGTTTCTAGAGGAGGCATCTGCTCTTGTTCAAGGGGAGCCACTTGCTCTCCTAGTTAAGTAATCCTGGGGATAAGTATGGAAAGGGGAAGAGCTGAGTTGTTGCTTTCATTTGAAGAGTTAGAAGAGGGCTCTACTCCTTCCTGAATAATTTGAAGAGGAGTGGCTACTTCTTCTTGAACCATTTGTAAAGATGACGCTGCCTCTTCGAGTTCTTCTTGGAGATTTCTTGTTGCTGGTTTTGATCTCTTTGATTGGATTTCAGCACAGCCTGATCTTGGTCTTTTTGCCAGCTTGGTTTTGATTCGGGTGAACTCAGTTTGGAGGGGCTCATGAGATTTGAGAGTATCATCCTGCTTTTTAATTTCTGGGGCCCCTGCCTTGGAGGTCTGGAATAGGAGCTTCCTCCAATTTGTTGCTTCCTTTGTTTCCCCCAGTATCCCTTTCTTCTTGAGTAGTTCTCCAATGAGAAATCTGTAACCTAGTAATGGCAGAGTACCATCCTCCTTTCTTCCTGTGTGAGATTTATTCACATATCTTCGTAGCTCATGGTACACGTACTTGGTCCAATTGTATGGGGACCCTGAGATTATTGCGGCCAGTGGTTTTGCTCTTTGTGCATTGATCTCGTCAAGTGCTGTTGTTCTTGTGTCGATACACTTGTAGAGAATGTCGAGGAGAACATCATATTCTTGAACCATCATCTTCTTCTTTATCTTGAAAGTGGGTAGGTTTTGAGCTCTTGGCAAGAAGACTTTTTCTTTGAATTCTGCCTCATCCAGGGTGAGGTCTTCTACATTTGGGGCTTCGTTACTTGGAAGAAAGAGCAGTTCCCTGATATCTTCTTCTTGTATCTCTACCTCAGTTCCCAGAACTACTGATTTCAAAGACTCTGGGATTGAGTTGAGGTAGAACTCTGCTACTATTTCCGGATAGAAGTGAGAGTACGTGTAAGTGGCCATTTTCAAGAGCCCTGTTATATCGAGCTTTCTTAGGAGCTCCCTCATAAGATCAGTGTTGTTTGCTCTCTCAAGTGCTTTTGAAGTGTTTAGGATGGAGCCAGTAAAAATGGATTTGGAGATTTTGATGAGTGAGGCCATTTGTGTATGGGGATTGTGTGTATGTGAGGAATTAAAGGTAGTGCGGAAGAAGGCTTTTGAGAGTATTAAGAGAGAGTTGAGAGCTTTAGAATTGATAAGAAAGAGATAAGGCCAATCGGTTAGAGTTTTACTCTAACAGAAAGTCATTCTATTAAATAACGTGAAGATTCGGCAGAGTATATTGATCTATTTGAAAATGTATGATACACTACAATCGTCCATTGTTGTGATAAATTATGTTGCCTTGAAAGCATTAACCTTTTTCTCCCTAGATAGAAAAAAAAAATGATCTGCTTCTTCAAGTGTATCTTGAGAAATAGTTTTGATGATAACTATGATGTTATAGATAATATTATCTTAATATTTGATGATAAAATTGTTATTTAAGAGTCTTAATTGTTTTCTAAAATTGAAAATGGGAACCTTCAGTTGGAATGTCCAAAAAAGGATAGTGAGAACCTTTGAATGGAAGACAAGAAGTACGGAATAGGAAACAGTTACAAACTGATATTGATATACACCACAGTAACAATGCTAATACTATCCACCATGTTTATTCATTGGGCAATTCTTCAATTCAATTCAAACATGACAAAGTTTGCTACTTGTCTTTCATTTCTCATTAAGTTCATCTATATAATTAATATAGTAGTTCCTGCTACTTTGTGCTCTTCATATGGAAGCAACGTGTTAAGGGCCTTGGTACAAGATCTAGTCCAAGGTCGATGATTCTGAGAAGAACAAGAAAAATATGAATCTATGGTGCCTGAAATATTAATCGACCCCCGCCCTCGGCAAGGAGTTTGTCGCAGGTTCCACC